TCCAACCAGTGGCCCAGATGGCTTAATTATAGACCTGGCCCTGCATGTAAACACATGCTGTCTTTAAATAACTGCACAACTTGCCACACGCTCGAGTGTCTAGTATTTCTTCTATTCTATAAAGCTGCATGTTGAATCACTGTAAGTGTTGAGTTGATTCAAAAGAATAGATCTAAGCATCAGGAAAAGATGCACTTGTTTTAATAAGTGTTTTGTAAATTTTTAATGAGTGGATAGAATAAAAAAAACACTTATTTAAACAGACCGACCTCGATGAATGAATTTGATTTTAAATGATAAAAGATGAGTTACATAAAGTACAGTAGCGTCATGACTCTAACAAGGTCACAGACCCAAAAATACAGCTCTAATACCTGCCAGTAACTGAGCCTACTACAGTAACAAAATACAGTACCACTTCAAGCCTCCAGTAGCCATTCATACTGGGTGAGTGCCACGATAAAGATGCCACCAAGCACATGTCAGATGGATAGAGTGTACGCAGGGTGTGTGAGGTATTCTTAGCACCGATGAGAGTCCAGGCTTATGAATCCATTCACATCTCTAAATGGCGTCCTGGCTGGAAGAGAAGGCCACTTGTTTCTGCCAAGGCATTAGTTTCTGCTTGGCTCGGTTTATTTCTCCCTCAGATCTGCTCCTGATTACAATAAAGTAAAAGTAATATTGAAAACTTTCCAGATAGGCTTCCTGAATCATTAAAATTCAAACACCGGAAACTAAACAGGGAGTGTTGAAACTCAAAACGCCTACAGAGATGAAAAAACCCTCAAGAGAAGAAACAGTGGGCCAAGAGGAATCTTATAAACATTCCGGAGCAAGTAAGGGTAGTATTCTAAATGCCATTCATGGCATCAAATAAGAATATATTTTTGGAAAGTGACCTTAGAGGATACAGGCTTGAGAGAAGCTGGCAGATGTGATGTGCTGGTCATGTTCCCAATACCTGCTGCTGCAAATGACTCTAAAATCATCCGTTTCCCTTCGAACACAAGAGACATGGTGCAACTTAGGCAGAAAGTTTCCTATTTTAAGTGATTTTGACAGAAGTTTAATTTACTTTTAACAGCAACTGTACTAAGTTTGTCATCAAAGCTTTCAGGCTCAGAACACATTCTTTTAACATCATATGGTCCTCTTCAACCATTCTGGCCGAGCTGAGCTCAGAGTTGCTCTCCTGCAGCAGAAGAGGAGCTGTTAGCTGTCGTTTTCCAGGACGTCTGGGTGTTCCTCCCAGAAGTGGTCTCCTATAATGTCGCAGTGGTAGGTCTGCACCTTCCTCCTGCTGTTAGTCACAGGCACGTCCATCTCCTCTCCACCTGGGAGCTTTGTGCGTTTAATGACGGTTTCATCTCGCTGCACAGAATGAGGAATAGGATTAGTTCAATAAAAAAGGCAACAAAAAAGGATAGATTCACATTTAGGAAAATTGTCCTTTTCTCTTTCCGTGATTGAAACTGTGATTGTTACTCTAAATCCTACATGTTCAGACACAAAAGATGTGTCAGGATCAATGTATGACGGCACTAACCTGAGTTAAAATGGCTGAGAGGTTACGATGAAGGAATTTAAGATTCACACATGAGAACCAAAGATGTCTATCTACAGCAGGAGTATTCTAGTGAATTCTTCTGCAATAATTGTGCTGCAGACTCAAACTTTCAAATCGCAAACCTTTTCCCAGATGAGAGTGGTGCCTTTCCTGTGCAGGGCAGATTCATTGTTGTAGTTGATGTCAAACTCTGAAAACAGGATCTCATTTTTATCTGCAGCTACTGTTCCCTGAGAGGGGGGAACACACAGACATGAATAAATATTACACAAGTGAATATAAGACATTTCAGCAAAAGCAATGAATCACTGGGCACTTATTGATTTATTATTTGAATAATGAAATCCATTGATGCTGTGATCCGCAAAGATCTCATATTTGCCGTCTTTGATTTGTGCATTTGTTTTTCCCAAGAAATATTTTTACAGGATAAAGGAACTAGGAATAACAAAAGGTTTGCTGGGCTATGAATGACTCATGTTGACGAAACACGCAGCCAGAACCAACATTTCCACAATCCGTCACCTGTCATCACATCATCTGAGCTACCCTCAAAGTGGACACTGGGGAAAGAAAAGACTTCCAGTGAACAGCTGGTTCAGTCAGTGGCAGCTGCCACAGACAATGACAGACCTGATGAAATTCTACAGACACATATTACCACTTCTGTTGAATCAGTTCAATAATTTCCCTAAGTTTTGATCATCACATTTAGAATTGACATGAAGTGATGAACTGCGTTGGGGTGTTTTAAAGATTAACTTCAAATTTAATTTAATTCTACTACTGAAAATAATAATTTTAAAATTTAATCAGAAAAACTGACTAGTTACGATCGCACTGACCATCAATGTGATCATCATCTGCTAACAACACAGGTTTGAGAGTCTCGCAATTTCAATATTACATATGTCCTGTACATTTGCAGAACTGACAATAAAGCAAATTTTGAACTTTGAATGTTATTATTTTCAACATGAGAATTACTATTATTCTTCCAACTTTTTATTCGCATTGACAATTAATTGATTAATTTATCAATTTCCTTGAAATTAGGAAGTTGGCTGACTGACTACTACACCAACGCCTTCCCCAGTGTGGACACCAAAAAATAATCGGTAACAGAAATGTGTTAGTGTGCAGACATATGCGATCATATCTGTAGCACAAATGAAACATTCACTAGAATGTGATTGCTAAGTGTAACATGATTCTGTGTATTTATGTTATTATCACACATCTTAATTCATCTAACTAGAGTTTCCTAATAACATGGTTATTACTAAATAAGCACACATGCATTTGTGTAAATCTACACAGGCATTTTAGATTGTGTTGCCCTCTCACCTTTAAACGATCCTCTGCCTGAACTGTGGTGAGCCCTCCCCTCTGTACTAATGTCCAAAACACGGTGTTGTACATATTATTTATGTGACCTGAAAAACACACAACAAACATAAGTACAGTCTAACATAGTTAAGCCTCATTCGCTTGTTGAACTAGTTCATCTAGTTGTCAAATGTGTCATTTGAAAATAGGCTCTGGCACTGTGTGTACTCACAGTCTGCTTGCCTCCAGCTGAGGTAGTCTCTGAGGTTGCGGTTGGTAGGATACAGGACCACGCGTCCGTCAAAGCTTGGGGGATACAGGAGGGGCTGATCCTCGAAAAATTCCTTCCAGTAAAACACATATGAGGAGGAGAACTGGGAGGACACGTGGGTCATGAGCTTACTGCCGGAAGAGAGAGCAGGAGAAATTAAGTCAGACAAAATTCAACAATATATGAACATGAGTGACATCACACTTCTGCTACCTGGCTCTCCTCTTAAACCAGCTGGAGGTCCTTTTAAAAACAAAGCTGAACTCATCACTTTGACCGTAAGCGATAGTGATATCCTCTAGTTCCTCCATCACAGAGCGTGCACTCCTGCTCATCAAGCCCAAGGCTCGGTTATCATTGGGCTTTGTAAACTTGTGCTGCCCAGCAAACCTGCCACAGAATACAAGCAGAAACAGCATGGTGTCATCATCCCACTGTCCACAGAAATGATACATGTGCACCTTAAACAGGAAACTCACCTGTGGAAGTTTCGACCGTCCAGTCTCACGACTATGTAGCAGTTCCGTAGACAAGTGTCATCCGTCTCAAAGTTGCGGACATACTCGAATTTGCTCTTTGCCATGTTGCTGGAGGTGAAAAGATGGGCTGAGGGTTTGACAACGCAATCAATCAAAGGACATCGAAGAAACCTGCAGGTATTTCCAATCACCATGAGGCTGTCCCTGAAAGAGAAACAAACATGGTGAGGAATAGTAACATAAGTATCATCTAACATACAAGGCATATTGGATTGCTTAAACTAAATAAATAATCAGACATGAACAATAAATATATATAAATAAAATAAAAGGTACTTCATAATTAAAGAGACTGAGGGTCTTATTTTCCTCCATTTGGATATGTGGATGGAAGGAGTAGCCAGGATCAAGTAACTCTCAGTGTTATATTATCATATCAATACCAAATACAATGTTTTCTCTTGTGGCCTCTATCTTGAATGGACAGTAGTGTTTTGGTTGAGAGCCAGTCCTGCAAATCCTCCCAAAATGTAGCAGTGGACGAACAGATGATCAGAGGTTTGAATGTCAGTGTCAGTGTAGCTGCAGTTATCGACCAATTCAAACCTCAGTCCTCGCACTTCAATAGATGGTGACGATACAGAAATAAAACACATATCGATCATCATGGAATAATCAGAGTTAGTACTCACACTTGGGTGTCATGTGGTGTTGGTCCTCTTCACCTTCAATAAACACACAGTTAGCTACTTCTAGGAAACCAGTTAGCTTCATGCGACTATTTGCTCAACTACACAAACACCAGCTTTTGATGTAGTGGGTTGATACAGCTGCTGATATGAAAATATTCCAACAAAGATGTCACACCACATTACACTACACACACTGTGTACAGTCCGACAGCGAACTGTGTCGTAGCGGTACAACAAACCAAACGAACTAAAGTTCCGGGATTTAAAGTTTAAAATCAACTAATGTAAAACAAACATCCGATTGTTTGACCTCTGACCTGCTTCTCTCTTTAAAAACACAACCAGCGCCACGGGGCAGTTTATTGTTGCGTTGCTGCTGCGTGGGTTCATTTATTAAAGCAAAAACACAGTTTTCATTTTTGCGGTGAAACATGTTCTGTGTATCAGCGCCATCTTGTTGTGGAGAGGCGAGCGTACAATCAAAGATCGTCTATGAGTTAGGAACACAGAAAGGCCACTTGAGGAATTGGTAGTTTCAAGGGAAACTCTCATGGTGATATTGTTGTTTTCTGTGTTTGTTGTTGTGTTTTCTGTGGATCTATAGATAAAATACACAACTAACAACACAACTGAGACTTGAATTCACTATTTGACTGGTGGACTCTGCTCTTATTATATCATTATGAAGTGTCTCTCCCCTGGAAGCAGGCACAGAGTGATACCTCCACCCGACCCACGACCTCAACCTTCCCATGATTCCTCGCTTCAAGCGTGTGCTCCTCTATGGTTGTTTCAAACATGGAGGAGAGGGAAAGAGACGCAGCAGGGCCAGGCAGCACAGAGACAACCCCGCGAGGCTGCTCCGGTACCGCAGCAGCAGCGCCGGGGCATGGGCCGGAGAAGGCCGGGACATCCCGGGACGATGATGCAGATAAAGTGGACGTGTGCTCGGAGAGGTTTGACCCTCTGCTCGCTCTCTACTCCCCCACCGTGTCACTTCCTTTCCCCAACGTCAAGTGTTTCAACAACGTGGCGGCCTACGAGAGCTTCCTGAAGGGCGGCCGGGGCAGAGCCAAGCCGGAGAACGTGGAGAAGAAGCGGCTGAAGGCGCTGAAGGGGGTGGCGGACCCGGAGCGCATCGACAGGCTGAAGAAGCTGATGGTGAACAACCCGCTGCCGGAGGCGGAGCAGGGGGAGAGCAGCGGCGGCGCCCCGCGGAGCAGGAAGAAGAACAAGCCGCAGAAAAATGTCCTGACGAGGATGCCCCGTAGGTTCAGAGCACAGCAACACTTCATCACTACACTGTGTAGAGGCGTGAATCTCTGATCCAAGACACAAGAGGTTTATAGAAGCTGTGGTGGAGCTGCTGTGAAATCAGTTCACACACAGACCAATGATATGTCAAACATCCAAGTTCACTTCCTGGTTCAGCCACATGCACATCGAAGTCCTTCCTTGTTTACTGTTTGCTCACACATCACTGAGTATAGTTTAACAATTGCCCCTTGTTCAAGCTCATTGTGTAAATATAAAGTCTTAACACATTTCTGGTAAGTACCTGGTTTAAGACAACTAACAGAACAGGGACACTTCAGATTACCCCTGGGCCCAGTCCTGCCCCTGGATCCTCCCCTGTATTATACAAGCATAATAATTATATACTTGTATAATACAAGTCATTTCAAATAGTTTGCATAGAAGTGTTTTAGTAGCATTAATACAATTGGGAAGTAGATCATAACATAATAAGAATAAAGAAGACGTAATATGAATAAATATGAAGTGTTTTGTAAGAGTGAACACTAAATACAATCGTCACATATTATACTCTTACTTCTTTAGGATCTTTTCCTACATTCTTTTGTTGGAGTTTTTTTGGTTTGTCTGGTAACTTGATCGCACTTGGAGCCTGATACAACCCACATAGAATTTGCACTGTCACATAAAAAACACTTTAATAATAACTTCTCATTTCTCCATAATAACAGTAATTTGAAAGTTATAGTTTGGCATCATCTCATCATCTTCATTATTTTTTCTTCTCTTGAAATATAAAATTAAACCATGAAGCCAAGAAGACATAGAAATGTATGAAGTTATTTGGTGACTACAGTTGGCCCTGCCCGTGTTCTCCTTGCTCATAGTGTCATAGTATCACTATACACTATAAAATGCAATCCTTGTTTCCTCTCCCTCTTTAATTTAATTCACCAGTTTGTAGGATGCCTAGATGAAAAAACAACCTGACTTTACACCTCCAGACTCTAATACATGTGTGTTTTGTATTCCTTCCTCTTCTTTTTATGTTTAGAAGATGAATTCCTTGTGAGATTTATCAGTTGTAGAAACCGCTGTGTGACCTGTGTGCCATGTGTGTGTCTTCAGTGTGTAAAGGCGGTCCTTTGGGTGAGCTGTACCGCTGCGTTGAGGAGAGGGTGAGGGTCAAAGTTCACATCAGGACCTTTAAGGGACTGAGGGGAGTGTGCTCGGGCTTCATCGTGGCCTTTGACAAGTTCTGGAACATGGTGAGTGTACATGTTGCTTGAAGGCTTCTTGTGCTGAACCTGAAATATATATAAATAATTTTACCGCAATGTACTTTTTTCTTTTTCAGGCAATGGTAGATGTGGATGAGACTTACAGGGAGCCTCTGCTGGGAGAGGCATTCTACCATGAGAAAGCCCTCACCATTACACGGGTATGTGTTAGTTCTCATTGTCGTTTATTTCCCATTCAGTCATAGTTCAATGCTCCTCTTTCTTCCATCACTCCTTCCATTATTTAAAAGTGATCTTCTGACAGTAAGACAGTGTTTCCTGTGCTTACCAATAAAAGCCACACTGTATTTCCCATTGTTGAATTTGATTTGCATGACCTTTGCAACAGCTCTGATATGGTTTTATGTGAGGGAGCAGTAAACAGTGAGGCTGACATCAGTGAGTTAAATTATAACCAGTGAAGCTGGATGAGATACATGCATCACTTCCTCATGTGTAAGCAGGTGAGGGTTGAATCCAGCACAGGAATGAAGAACCCTGACAGTAACAGAGATAGCTGCTACATGAGACAGAATGTAAACATGAAAAATAACATCATTATCATTACAACTGTTGTGTCCATGTGTGTTAATGTGTCTTAAATCTTTTTGCAGCTCTTTGAGAAGCTGAAACTTCAGGAAAGCTCAGGAGGTGACGATCCAGCAAAGAGACACAAAGCTCTGAGACAAGCTGTCGAGCATCGGCCTGTGAATCCTAAAGCTTCTCACCCCACCAGCAGGACAGAGTCCACCGTTATAGACAAACAGGATAAAGACAAAGCCTCACTAAAGGCCCCGGACCCAGGAGCCTGTAAGAAGAACGTCTCCCAGAAGTATGGCCAAGTCCACACACGCCACATCAACCAGCTCTTCATCCGGGGGGAGAGCGTTATCCTGGTGAACCCACAGCCTCTCTGACTTTTCTCTTCTGGACTTAACATTCAATCAACCATGTTTGAATTTCTGGCCCCGTACACACCTGGTATTAACATCAGTCCTGAGAGATCCGATCACAAGTGGCCAGCGCTAAGAACGTGTGTTCACACCTGGTATTAAAATCCGTCCTGAATGTGTCTCCTGTGACTTGTCATCGGATGTCACCTCCCGATCTACATGCAAACGAACACGTAGGTCATTTGTGTTAGCTTAGACTAATTGATGTTGTTTTGTCGGCACGAGCGATTGAAAGAGAGGTAGAGAGACAATCCTGGAGAGTCTGAATGAATCTTGTGCAGCTCTGAAGAAAGATTTTTTTTTTTGTTGAAGAAAGTGAAACTGTAGGGGGGGTCACAGGACATATCAGACGGCCCAAGACGGATTTGCGTTCACACTGTGAAAAGAATGTGCACTGGAATGTTCGGATCGCCCTGGGTGTGTTCACACCTGTATTTAGAGTCCACTTGGGATCGGATCACAAAAACCACATGTTAATACCAGGTGTGTACAGGGCCTGAGTTTCACTTCACACTGAACATACTGAACAATAGATTTGTGACGATAAAGTGCCAGAGATGTGTCTATAATTTAATTGGATTCAGAAGAATCCAGGATTACTGTTATATCATATTGATATGAAGGTTTTTCTGCCTACTGGAGAAAACATCTTGATTTTGAGAAATAAAAGCTACTCACTTCTAATTAAAGTCACTTCTTGTTGTGTTTTCTTTAGTCTGTCACCCACTAAAAGACATTTCTGACATCTCCTCTGCCTCAGCATTAATAACTGCGTCTGCCAAGGCTGTCATCCAGCAGGTGGCAGCATAAACACGTTAGTGGCCTTTGCTGGGCCATTGTCTCAAAGAGCCTGTCCCTTTATGTTGCTTTTCCCGTTAGTTTGAACAGGGATGACAGCGCAGTCTCAGCGGACTTCATAAATGCATTATGAATAATTGAGTTTGTGAAGCTAGAGATTGCAGATGGCACTCAAAAGCTGTCATTTGTCTTGACGTCTCAGATTGCTTTTTACTCTTTAATGGGCACATTACCCATAAAAGCACAATTTACTGCATCTCATGGAAGTTGTAAAGATGTTTTTTTTCTTTTTTTAGATGGCAGGGGGTTTTTTTGGGGGGGGGAGGCACAGAACGATTGTGTTGTGATTCTGTTCCTGTGCGTATAGAGTTTTTGAGTTATACCTCCTTATATAGTTTTTTCTTCATTTGACTTCAGAGAGCTTAATTGACATTTCACATATTTTATACAATAAATAGGACAAACTCTTATTAGTAGCTGAACTGTTGTTGGTCTATATAATGTATTAAGAGTATTATTAGTGTAACCCATTTACCAGTCGTCTCCAGAGAGGGGAAATGGGTCAATTGTTTAATGTACATTGTGTTTTAGTCGTGTTTGTCGCACCAGTGTGTTCTATCAAACCTTCATACAACATGAGAAGGGCAGAGAACTGGAGCCACAATTAGATGACAGTCTTTTACTTGACTTCTATTGAAGTGAGCAGATCTTCTCTCAGATCATCATCTCTATGAGAAACTGAACTTCATCGGCTGAATTAATGATGAAGCATTAAAGACTCAAAGTTTCAAGTTCTTCAAATAAAACAATAGTTATATACAATGGCACTCAGTAGAGCGCATACCTCCACCAAGGCCCAACAGTCCCCAGCTTCAATTAAGCTGCACTGAATTGCACACATGTATCACTTCCCTAAATATTCCTGATTTTTTTTGATCCATTAAATATTTTCTTCGAAACCAGAAACCAAAAAACCACCTGATCTCACAATGTTAAAGAAGGTCAAAAAAGATTTTCTGGATCCACCCACTGTTCTGGATCCAAAATCAGAATTAAGTGGTTTCTTCCCTGACCCATACCACATCCTTCCACCAAGTTTTGTGCTAATCTGTCCAGTTGTTTCTGTGTAATCCTGCATACAAAATAACTACAGACAAATGAACAGAGGTGAAAACATAACCTCTTCAGGAAAGGTAACAGAGAAATGAGATTCATTTGTTGCATTGAGCTGCTGCGAGTCACTGTATCAATCAGATTCATCTGTATTCCAGTGGTGCTTCTTCTGTCCAAGTGTTTGCTGTTACGCCAGTCCGTTAGTTTGATTGACAGCAGGATGACACAAAAACTACTGAACAGATTTCCACGAAACTTGGTGGAACGATGGGATATGGCTCAATGGTGAAAATGTAAAAAAAAAAAAAGGCAAATTTATAATGCATAGAGCTTGATGAAAAAATTAAATCAGACACTTTAAGGCCCTGGTATTTATGACAATGAGATTTATGCAAATCCAAATCAAAATGTGGATTTAGTGAATTTAAATGTGGTTTCATAAGGTGATTGTTGGGCTCTCCTGAGGCTGGGGGATAAAACCATATCAATAATTATGTCAATATAATTTTCATCAATGTGAACCTAGCAATAGTCTCATATACAGTATGTATCGATATAATGCTAATGCATTGTGCAAGCACAGTAGGGAGGTGTGATTGATTGTCCTCAGACTAAAATGATTTGCTGTTTATCAAGTGTCATTGTCAAGTTTAAAATCACAACTTTCAACTCAACAGAAGTACTAGTTATCTCGGCTGATAGAAACATTATCTTGATATAATTTTGGGCCATATTGTCCAGCCCTACATTCTAGTCTGATCATATCTGTTACCTGTATATTCATGCACTCAGTAAACTTGTTTAAGAGTTAACATTCCCTGCAGTTGCTCAGGAGGCCCTCTGATTTATTAATATATAATCTATAATTACACATATTTATCGATGGCCTGTCTTTATTACGGCAACGTCATTTCATAGTTGAGCGCAGTGGTTTCACTTTTGCTGCTTGAAGCTCTTTTGAAGGAGGCTAATGACACAGCACAACAAATAACACACACCATTAACGAATTTCAATCAACTGTTTAATGTTGTAGATAAAGAATCTCGATGTGTAAATCAAATCAAAATGGGAATGATGCAAAATTTATTTTCTCTCAAAGGATTCTCAATCTTTTTTGTACATTTGCATATACTAGTGTTTCAGTAACAATCCCATTTTAAAGAAGATCAAAATGATTTGACGTAAAAAAAAAACAAAAAAACGCATAAAACAATCTACTGAAATAGTTTAATAAAACAACAAACAGATTTTGGTCATTTAAATGCTTCAGACTCCAATGCAAGGCTACTATGTGTTAGTGTGCTCAGCTTGTCGAGCCCTTGGAGAGCAGGGAAGCACAACTTCTATCCTCCTGGGGCACCAGAATCCACCGCCTGCTCCTCTGGCTGGTGAATTATTTAGCTCGTCGTTGACATACCAAATATGTCAGGCAGCCGAGAGTTACTTATTATCAATCGCTCATTACAAGGGTCAGGAGGCAACTGCCGGCAGGCACTTGAATCTCACGGATCACGTAGCTGCTGTACAGCTGAACAGGATTCTTCATTGTCTGTTACACAACACATCCTCTTTCAACCACAATTAACTTACTGCGTCTCGCTCTCTTTCCTCTCACAGTTTTCTGTACCTGATGAGTCGCTATACATATAGACTTGGACTAATGACAATGTTTTCAAGATTGCTGTGTTTAATGTGTAACATTAATTAAGATGGAAGGTGAGAAGGCAGCATTATCCGAGATGCACCGTTGGAACATTTAAATAGACAGAGAGATTTGTGATACCATCTCAATAACAGTCTGCATCAACACTGGAGGTGCCACTTTCATAGAGAACTGAAGTAATCACTGGCCCTAACAATGCAGATGTGCATGGGATAGAACAATTGAAACGCTCACACAGCTGCTCCTGATATCTGTACAGATGTTTTCTACTATCTTTATAGTGTGGTCTTTCAGTTTGAAAGCTAGACTTGTTGATCTCACGTTCAGATTTTGGAATGCTTCCACTCAAAACCCTGCACTTGCACTCAAATAGCCCCTGCTTGTGCTCAGATTGTGCGCTTGTACCCTAAAATTCCCGATATTCCAGCTTCATCGTTTCTCCTACCACCCGAAGCTGCTTCTATGAAACCTCTGCTCTCGGATTCTCCTCTGCTCTTAGATTTTTTCTTCCAGCAAGTGCAACAATTCTATCAAAATTCTCCAACCAATAAATTGCCGGGTGTATTGTTGACAAATAAAGTGGTTCCGCCCCTCGTTGTGGTGGTGTTAGCTGTACTGTGCATGAATATAACAAAGTTGTATCAAAGTAAGTAACCACCCGTGGAAGCTGGAACGCAGAAAGTCTGTCCCAGCAACAAATCATCTGAGAGCAGGTGCACAATTTAAGCACAAGCTGAGCAAATCTAAGCACACAGGGACGATTTGAGGTCAAAGTATGGTTTTGACTGAAAAGATCACGATATCTGAATGTGAAATCTGTAAGTGCTCTCAAACCTCAAGACCATGCTCTTCAATTAAGATAAGGAAAAAAAACTCATCTACAGACAACGACTTGAGGTGTAAGTACAAACACATTTGTACATCGAACAGAATCTCGGTTCTGGTCGCCCTCCTCAACACTGAACACTCACATTGTCTCCTCCAAAGAGTGGAACTGAAGAGAAAAGGCAAAGGTCTCTCAGGCACTCTGTGCTGTAATAATGAACCTGCACACCCCCCTGTATGAGGCTCTTTCTACCTACTGATTATCTCATTTGGATGCAAACTGATTATAATATTTCTCTTAGGTAAAATATATAGATATATATTTATATATACCAAAATGAAAGGCCACAAAATGATGGGCTGTTCAAGGACAAACTCCTACATATTAATCAACAGCTTTCACTCCAAACACTCATGACGTTACTGCAGCGCTGCCGACAGATCACTGTTACATAAAGGTGTATAACAGCCACATCCAGACTGTGTGGATACTTATGTACAAAGAGAAGGTGTCAATGTGTTTTGTTATAGGTCTTAAATCAGATCACGTTTGGTCTGTAGGATACAACCCTTCACATTGTCACTGCTTCTTCTATTAGGAACTTCATAACTTATTTGTAAGGGCTCCGGACTTCTATTTACAGGTCAAAGGAAGAACGAGGACAAAAAAGAGGTAACTTGACAATCTGAAACTGTACTACATTAGAAAGTTAAAATGGCGGATCATGTTATCCAAAGTCATCATTCAATGAAGTAAAAAAATTACGCAGCTATGGATATAGGTTGTTTTTTTTGTTTTTGCTATTCTGGTGATTTCACTTGATTGAGGTTATAAAGCAAATACCTCTGACATTCTCACGCTGGCACACACGTTCTTCTTCTCACCGATTCATCACTAACTCAAGGCACACTATCAGTGCGTGTGTTTGACCACCAGCCCAAACCTGGCACATCATTGGTTCAAACAGCACACACACACACGCAAGCACACACACACTTAGATCTTTATCACTATGCGGCATTTCTTTCAAAAGTAGGAGATTGCAGGGTATTGGTATTATAATAATTGACATTTTTCAAGTACTCTTTGTTTGCAGCTCATAACAATCCTTCACCAATGGACGGAGAGAGACAGAGAGGGAGAGATAGAAAGAAAGAAACCCACACCGCTCCTCCTGGCAATCTTGGCTCTCCAGCTCCATCACTTTCCAAAGTTGCCGAAGTCAGCGAAGGCATCATGTTTGGGCTGTTGGACCATTGCAGGATTCATTCCCATCCCCATGGCACCGGGCATCCCCATAGTCATACCTCCCTGTGGCATCCCCATGTTCATGCCCATACCCATCATGCTCTGGTTGGGGGTCATAGCCATTCCCATCCCCATGCCCATGCCCATGCCCATTCCAGCACCAGGGTGCATCATGGGATTTACGGGTGGTCTGACTGCTGCAGGTCCAAGACTCATGTTAGAAACTGCTTGAGAGAGTATGTTGCCCTGGTTACCTGGAAACGACAGAGATAATTCAATTAATTAAAGAGCCAAAGAGAAAGAAAGCTTTGATGAAGCGGGAAAAGCCTGGTTAAGGCACTGTCCACACTAATACACATATTTAGTGAGAACTTTTCCCTCTGCGTTTCAGCCTCTTATCCACATGGAAACAAAGTTTTTAGACGCTAAAACCGATTTTTACAAATGCCTTCCAAACTGAAGATTTTCAAAAACTGGTATCTGTGTAAAACTTAGCATTTCGGTAACAATGACAGCACAGTTTACTTCACACATGCCCACTGTTGCTTTTTGTAATGTAATTCTCTTTGTTGGTTAGCACTGCTAGGTCTATTTACAAATGTACAGCTTAGGTTCGCCTTTACTGCACCACATCAGACTTTATTGTCATCTACTGGCCAGGCTTGCTTCTTTGAGCTTTTGTAGTTGTTGTGTTCTTGTCGGACAGAGATAGTGTTTGTCACAGCATGCTGTGGTCTAAGATCTACTATGCTGCGCAGCACAGGCACCATAGAAAATAATGTGTTGTCGTCACATCCTCACACTGTCACTATTCCTCTCACCTTGTTGGAGAGTGTTGAGACTGGGTTGGCTCGGCTTGGAGGGCTGCATGCCTGGACCCAAGAAGTCCAGGCTTATGTTAACAGTGTGGTCCGACCAGGTGGAAGGGAGGGACGCTTTGGCTCCAGCACCATGAGAGGCCATTCCCTGCTGCACAGGCTGGAATGGCTGGAGAGGCTGCAGTTGTAGTGAACCTCCCATGTTCTGGAGGGGCTGATGAAGACAAAGAGGCACACAAGCAAAAATTCAGTGTGAGGGAGACTAGTAATAGAAATATACAGCGATAAGATACAGAAAAGCTCCAACACTGAAATACATGATGAAGTGATATAGTTTCTATCATAATTCAAGGCCTTAAACCTTAAGCCTGACCCACTTAAACCTGATAGTGTAAGAAGAGTCTGCTGCTGTCTCGTTGTGAACTCATTAAAAACATATCATACCAAGTCATGGGGGGTAAAAGGGATTGGTGTGTGTGTCTTCTTAGTGATTCAAAGAATGAGTTTTTTGTTTTAAGTAGGTCGACAACCTCTTAACATCGACATATGCAGGCTTTTGTTGGGGTTTTATTGTTTTTTTGTAACTCAAACCTCATTTTTCTCATTCTGTGTGTCAGTAACAGGAGGAGTGGGTGGTTACTGGGTGGTCTCTAGGGGAAGGGAGCATCTGGTGAGGCTGCATGTTAACCCTCCACCATCATGCTTGTCCTCCATCTTTCAATCACGCAAGTTATGCATGTCTCTGTCACACGCAGACTGACTGATGTGGTCAACGAGCAGTGAGTACATGTGTGGAAAATGAAAGCTTTGGTGCTGGAGTCACAGGTTGGTTGTGATTTCTCACATCTGTTTGTCTCTGCACTCCAGAATATTACTAAAAGCACTCATAGTGAAATTACTGACTAAAATGAGAAATTAACCCTGTGGTTGTACAAATACAATTTCAATTGGTTAAATATTAAACTGTGCTCATACACAAATATCTAACAAATAATGGCTGCTCAATCCATATCATTGTCTTTTGTTGACAGCAAACCATCAACCACATTGGCCCTTTTCACCAAAGGTTCTCGAATCTCACCTTCTCACCTTCTTCAATGTCTTCTACTTGTATGACACCTCTTATTTATCCTGAATTATTTTAATTCTCTTTGGGGTTTTTTCAGTATTGCGTCTGTTGTGTGTTAGAAACGTTATCAACACACACGCCCACTTGAGGGGAATTCTTTGGATATTCCCCTGCCTTATTCTCACATGTGATCACTCAGACATTTTAGTAGGGGACTGGCAGGAGAAACCCTATTCTTACATACAGCCCCTCAAGATCATTTCAGGAGATTGTCTGGAGTTCAGTACATGTTTGAAAGCAGCTTCTGTGTGTCATTCTTTCTCACCCACTCGCACACACAAGCGCCCATGCACGCACGCGTGCACACACACAGATCATTTCTGCCCCCTTTGTGTGTGTTGTAATGATAAATAAAACCTTGAATTATTAAAAACAGAATGTGCGTATGAGTGTAATCATGCATACCTGTGATGTGGGCTGGGGCAGGATTGTGCTGCTCATGCTCTGTGTGCTGCTCATGCTAAAGTTGAGGCTCTGGGAGGAGGTGAGGGTCTGTGTTGGACCTATCAAATCAAATAGATCTGCTGAGGCGGGAGCTGAGACTGGGACGGGTGCAGGACCTGCTGTCATGGTGCCAAAGAGGGAATTTTTGCTGGTGTCGGCAGTCTGAGCGGATACTGGCATCTGACCTCCGGGGAAGGCATTCCACTCTCCAAAGTCTCCATTACTGTTAGAGGCTGGTGTTGCTGCAACAAGATAAAAGACTGTTGTGTCAATATTTGAATTTGTAATTTTCAAAACGTTATGTTTGCACTGTGAGCTGTGTAATCCCGTTCAGCAAATCAATGTCACGCAAGCAAATCTGTAGCTGTCACAGGGATTAAGAATTAACAGATCGGTCTTCAGTGAGGCCAGTTCAGCTTTATTCCGGCCATTCTCCGTGAAAACCAGTACCATATTTAAAATTTTCAATGAACTTGCCCTGCTTGTTGTATCTCTCCCTCACTGGCTCTCTCAGCTTTCTCCACCCCCACCAACTTCTTCCTCTGTTCCTGTCTCCTTGTCATCCATAACAGGAGTTGATGTGTGTCTGTTCTTGTTATGCAGAGCAGGTAGCAGGCTCCATATGGCCAGGGCTCCCTCCCAGCATCCCTGTGAATATTCTAGCAGTATGGCTGCAACAGCACAGCACACACATGCACTCTTAACCAAAAAAAAAACCTTACTTAAAACCTACCAGATCCTGAAGAGAGACCTACGGAAGCAGCAGGTGAGGAGAAGTCAGCAAATCCCGCGATCAGGTCTGCATTGAGAAACAGACGTAAACATGTCAATTTTACACAAGCACGCTCCAGGTGTCATTCTGCCATACTTAGCATTCCTTCGGTGTCACAAGTGTAGGAGGAAGGGAGGGGCAGTGGCAGTGGATAGGTGGAGGAGGCCAAACATCTGTTCGGCGCTCCCACCCTCTCCATTCACCAGGGACTGCTCCAAAAACATCTGGTGCACTTAGTTCCTATACATCAACTCCCTCCCCCTGCTGTCCCCAAATTCTGAAGCTTGCATCAGCAGCTGGGCACTGTCACTGCAAACAGAGTCTCGTCCTGTAGTCATTGTAGAGTTCCCTGGATTTACTGGTATCTACCATGTTTGCTAAGAATATAAAAGGAGAAGAACATAGTTTCCCTTTTGGACAGAGACTTGCTATTTCCCTAATGTTCTAGTCTTCATGCTAAGCTGTGCTGAACATGTTTTGGACCAATTTTTCAGCTAAAAAACAAAAATTCAACTGATATGATCCCTTTTGACTAACTCCTGGGAAGACGAACAAGTGCATTTTAATGATACGTCAGGGTATTTAACGACATTGTACCTGTGGCAGTGGGCTTGCTCGGTGTTGTGTCTACCATTATTAGCTCTGCTAGGCCGCTACTGGAAGGCTGAGGGGCTGCTGCTGCTGCTGGCTGGGGCTTTAATACACAGTATTAAGGAAAAGATCAGCTCACAACGCAATCATAACTACATGGTTAAAACCTTATATGCTTGTTTGTGTGCTCTTGATACCTGTTCGGTTGTGGTGCTCTGGCTTCCGTCTCCTGTGTAGTGGGCTGCAGCTCCCAAGTCTACTTTCTTGGACGGGCCCCCTCCTCTTTTGCGTGTTGCTGTTGTCTCTGTTGCTTGAACTATCTGTACGCTCTTGGTGGTAACAGTCTCCTCTTCATCTTTGAACTCTTTTCCAGACTGGCCGTTGTGAGATGAGCGACCACACTCCTCTTCATGGTCACTGTAGAGAGAAAAGAGGGTTAGATACGACCAGTTAGGTGAGGGCATGAAAAATATGTTCTCTATCTAAGGAACAAAAACCATCATTAGTTTATCCCTGTTCTGGATGGAGGATCAGTGTATTAATGTCCTGATCAGTCATTTTTTGACCATTTATTTCAATGGCACAGACAAAAATGAAAAATGAGGAAACAAAAAGGATGAGAAAGTCCCCACTCATTGGACTCATCATCATCATGCAACAAATACGTAAAACATATTTTAGATGAATGGTGTTCTTCCCTCTAACAAAGTGCATTGAAACTGTTCTGACAGCTCATATTGTGTTTACAAGGAAAACTGATATAAGAACCTTCAACAGCATCAGAAACTTTTTATTGTTTATCCATTAAAAAACAACCTTTGGTGGTGGCAACTTCTCTTTCTGGAAAATTGTTTGGGCCTTTAAGTTTAATATGGAGTTAAACAAAATATTCTGAAAATATTTGTCCATCTCCTACCTGGATTGATCTGGTGAGTCGTCTCTGTCCTTCTTTCTAAATCTGCTGATGGTGTCATCTATGGTGCTGCCAATTTTGTCGCTAATCTCTTCAAACTTCTCGCTGAAGGGGAACTGCCCTTTACTCCTATCCCAGTCGTCGTCCCACTTTCCTTGGTTCTCGCTCGAGTCGTACCGGTCACCCGCTGGAAAGAAGGAATTCAAGTAGGAGGGGGAAGAGATGGGAGCAAGAGAAAAAGGGAATTTGATTTAATTAAAACACTGATGTTTTCATTAATCATCTATTTATATTACTCACTCAACTGAGGACTTACAGTAACCTCTGTATCCCATACTGTCTGAGGATACCCCAATGTATTTGTCTTTATTCTTCTTTGCTTTTTTCCGTTCTTCCCTCAGCCTCTCATCGTCCTGGACAAACTCCACCAGCTCCTTCACCTTCTGACGCACATTCACACCCTGGTCCTTCCCATTCTCATCTAGGGACCAAGATGTGGACACAAAAAGTCACACGATGAATGAATTAGCAACTTTTTTTTTTTTACTCAACAATGTTATTATGATATGTAATGTACTGAAACAATTCAAATGTGTAATAAACGTCTCTCCACAAGAAAGCTAAATGTTTTTGCTTGTATACGGCATTTTTTACATACACGTTGTTTGGAAGAGTGAAAGCAGCTTTAAAGCAGTGTGTGAGTGTGTGTGTGGTCTAACAGTTTGTGGAATAAGTAGGTTCTTAGCGGCTTCATCCATTCATTAAAGCCCACACTGAAACTATTGTTATTAACCTTGTACAATAATGAGGTGTAGAAAGCCTCATCCAATCAATTTGAAACTAGAATTTCCGCCTTGTTGTTGCAAGCCTCCACCAACCAATTAAGCTGCAGGAAATAAGGTCACAATCTCCTCTTCTGTTCCTGAGTTATGGTGTTGAATAAGTGCCAGAACATTATGATATCACAGTCAAGCTGACCTTTGACCATTTGAAAATGAAATGTCATCACATTATTTTATCCTATAAGACATTTGTGTTAAATGGTTTTGGAATGCTTAATTCTTTTGTGAGGTCACAGTTACCAACTTCTAATCAGTTCATCCATCAGTTTGTACCAAATATTGCACCAAATTAAATACAATTCCTTAAACTATCTCAGAGCTGTCACTCACAGATGTGCAAAACAATATCACGGTGGATTAAGAGATTTGTTTTGCAAGTTTGTGTATGTACAACATTGTCAACGTGTGAGAAAAGAGATGGCATGAAGAAGGGAGAAGACCAGAACAATACCTTACCAACAAAGTGATAACTTTGTAATGACCTCAGGTCATACAGATGTTCTCTGGCACTAGTGACAACTCTCTCTGATCCATTCCTGATTAGATGGGCCAGCAGCAGCAGAGACTGAGGAAGAGACAAAGTAGTTGTAGCAAAACTTACTTGAGCTTTCATTCCTAAACCTGGATCTTGTTGGGCTCAGTCTGACCTTTTCAAGCTGTAATTTAACCTCTGTGAGTTTATGAGCATGTTTTTATTTGTTAGGATGGTTTTCTCTCGATTCAGAGCATGTTAGACAAGTTGTCAAGCTTTTTTTTTTTTCCACAGTGCATTTGTTTACAACAGTGAAGATAGAATATGGAAGTATGAAACAGCTACAATAATCAAATAATTATAAATTGTGAAGGGTACCCGCCTATTCATCCCTCCCAAACATCCCCATTTGTCCCACTGAAGCCCACATCTTCAAAAACCATTTTACAAATTAGTGCAATGATACTTCTATCAAGGCTTAATGGAGTGGTATTAGTACAAAAACAAACAGTACAAATCCAAAAATAAATACATGAAT